ATTAATTTCGGAACAGAATATAAAATTCTGACAAGATGTCACGTCCAAAACGTGCAATGGCCTGCCGTTACAGGCGGTAGTTGGTATGCGCGATGTTCAGCATGGTGCCTATATTTGGTCGCTATATTGGACGGGTGGAAGATCTGGGACAAGTGACAAAGCGAGGGTATGGGGGGAGGGGAAGAAAGCGAAAAGTGCGGAAGTTGAACTTTGCAACTTGAAATCCGAATGCAAATAAACTAATTATTGTCTGAATTGAGTGAATTACAGAGTTGATCGCTCGGGCTTAGGATTGTCTCAGGTACGATTTATAACTAAATTTAAGAAAGTAAAGATAAAAGACAGCAAATAAGTTAATGAAAACTAGGACTTTTAAGCGACATTAAGATTTGCATGTGGTCGCTCTATTATTTATAGCCTGCACAATATGCAAATAAGCAAACTTAATGTACTTGCGACCCGAATATATCGGTAGACCGGCCTTCAAAAGTAAGCAATTTATGGACTCGAAATTGTGATTTTGGACGAATTAGTTACGCCAACCGTAGATGCGAACTATTGTGAAGCAAAAGGCACATTTGGCCACAAGCAGATCACGAAATAGCTTCTTTTGACATGGTTGAATTACATTTGAGCTCACGCGCTGATAATTAAACTTGTTACTCAAGATATTGGCGCTCAGACGCTTGCGGTAGAACGTGCGAAAGTAGATCTTAAATTTAGGCAAGGAAATTTAAGTCGTTGAATTCATATATCAATCGACATTTACAGATTTATCAATCACCAACCGTGGACAAAAAAGAGAACAGCATAACGAAAAATGTCTTACTTTGCGGTTTTCGATCAGCCATGGAAATCATATCGACAAGTCCAATTTTCTTCTGTTATGAAGGCGAAATCTTGCAAACGACTGCGAAGAATCTTGAGATACGACAGCCACCAAAATGGTTTTCTTTTCCATGAGATAAGACCGAATACAGACTTTCTGCTGACTGTGTTACATTTTTTTCATTGATCAAGTTTAGACTATCGCTTGTTACTTACTTCCGGTCTATTTCCGGGAAATTTAAGTCGAGAATGCACGGAAGTGCCAAACTCGTCATTATCGTTCATCTTCGGAAAAATCACGATTTCCCGATTGTGAAACGGAGCTACTTTCGAGCCCGGAGCCCTCTCACGGTGGCAGATGACAGAATGGTGGTCGATGGACCCTAGCCGGCCGAATCTTTGCGTAATTTTGCATGTTCCTTGATTGGAAAATTTTGGGAAAAATTTATCGCCGTTGTATCATCTGATGCGAAATGATAAAAAGTATTTTTTAATTATTTTGAACATTCGCTTGAAGGGAACTTGTTTACCGATCTTCGCGAGTTTGGAACCAACTCAATGTTTAATGTGAGTCGATGGATTGATTGAAGAACGATTGAATTTCCTACAGGAGTAAGTTTTCCGAAAGCTTAAGGTCCAAGGCATTAATTTCGAAAAGGAGACACATGTATTGGAGACAAAATCATGTTTTTTCACAAATGATAGTAAGATCTTCGAGTATATATTTGATTTGACGCTAAGATTCTATTTAAATTGTGTTTTTGGCGTTTGTGGATCGAGAAAATAGGAGATATCAAAGACGATTACTTAGAGCAAGAGCTGGAAACAATAACGAATAGAAAACTTCATGAAATACCAAATGGAAAGCGGATTGAAACTTGGTCAATGCAGTGAGAGGCAACCCTTTCACGATCACTGCGCAAAGGGTCTCTGTCAAGTGTTTCTAGCAAGAATTGCTAGTTAGTTTCCTTTTGGGTGATATCTTCACTGTTCTTTGTCTTTTTTTTCTACCTCAAATCTTACTTTAAGTCACTGTGTGAGAGTTTTTTTTCCCTATTTACCATTACTTTTTTTCTTTATGCATTACGTTTTGTAGAATTACCCAGTGCCTCTTTCAGAACTTGAGTTATCTCCACCTTACTCTCTTTACTAGGTAAAGAAGTTAAACGTGCCCAGGAAAATCCATCATCAGGCCCTGAAACGTTTGTCCTTGAGCAACGTGGCACTGATGGTATTCTTGCCCTGGGAATTTTTGAGCACCATTCCAACTTGCATCCTATTCGGTGGATGTTGTCAAGGGTCTGCCAAGTGCCAAGTGGTTGGAAGTGCGAGATCCAGAGCTGTCACCTACTAACCCTTTAGCAGGAGAATTTGCTTTCTAACTTGTGACTCTTATGAATGGGCTGGCAGCAAAAGACAACAGCTTGGATGGAGGCATCATCAAAATGCAACTTAACTTGTTCAGTACCTTAATTGCTCAATGCTGCAGGTATCATAAGCTAATTTAGTGATAAATGGGCCACTTAGCTTGCAGTAATCTTGAGAAAGCCCCTATAGTCTCTAATAGAGGAGGGTAAGGAAGGTCGCTCGATGAAAGCGTCTGCTATTCAAAGCTAGCCTTTGTTCTTTTTTTCTCACCATTTTTCACTGCATTACCGCAGTAGGGTAGGTCTAGAACGGAACATATACGATCCATGCGAGTAGCCCACCCATTAAATCCCACCCATCCCACCCCAGGGGAGGACATGCATCACACAGTAATCTCGTG